CTTTATATAGTTCAAGTTATTTTATTTGGTATAATCTAATTATATTACTAATGACTTAAAGTCTTGGTGTATATTGATTAATGTAATAATCTAGAAAATTAGCTCAACTTGTTCCACATGAAGTTCCCTAGAGGTTTCTTAAAGCATTTACTATTAAGTTAAATAAGTTTCTTCTCTAAAATCAGTGTACTACGTTAAGATACTTACCAGCACTAGAGCAGAGAAATAGCAAGATTTCCAAAAAGATCCTTTACTGGAAGTATAAGGCAGGGAGACACTAAACAAAACTCAAAAGACCATTTTGCCAGAGATCAATATCAACCAAGTCCTTTGGTAGATTTATAATTTCTTTGAAGGCATGTCTGCATAGAACTAATTTCCGAAGCTGTCTGATCCAAACCGCACTGGATTTGAAAACTAAAGTTAGTCCCTATCTTTTAGGTAGGGAATCTGAAGAAACAAAATACTTGCTTTGGACCAGGGATATCGCTACAATAAGAGCTCAGGTTTTGTAACACAGACTACACACAGACTGAATTAACTTGTTAACTAATTAAATAAGTTGTTAACTGGTTATTAAGCTAAACTCTAGTCTTTTGTCAACTGCTAAATGACTGATACATTACTTTTGGAAAATTTTTCATTTTTTAGCCATTAATATTTGTTTTGAACTTTCTGATACAATTGTCTATTATGTTATAACTCCATGGAGCAGATAAAATTCAATAGCATGAATTTATGCAATGAAAGGTTCTAGTAAGTCACTTATGAAATACTGCTGTGTCGATGTTAATTGATGATGAGAACTGAGGAGAATCCCACAAACTGAATATTGTGTTTGTCTTTTACCTTAAGAGTAAGTTTTAAAAAGAAAACAAGAGAATTTATGTGACTTCTCTCGCTGTCCTGCATTTTGTGGGCATCTAGGAAACATATATAACAATATTATAAAATACTTTGGAACCTACATCTTTCAGTATTCTTATGGCCTTCATCATTTCTCTGTCCCCTGAAAAATGCAAAAAATAAAGTTTTTATCTATAAATTATAAGAATACTCAGAGGTCTGAAATAACATGTTGCTGTACACTTGCAACTAAGTTTTTATCTCTAGTGTTATTTTGTATTTTATGAAGTAAAGATAGTACAGTATACTTTAATACTCTAATATACTTCTAATATATAACCCTACACCTACGTTGTTTTTTTCCCCACTGATTTCTGTGTATTTTGGACAAATAATCCTTTTTCTGTCCAAAGTGACTTTGGGCAAGTCAGCCTCCTTAAGGTTCTGGTTTCCACCTATGAAAAAATGAAGCATTTAGACCACATGAATTCCAAAGGCACTCTGAGCTTTAGATGCAACTCTGTGATTATATAAAATAAATGTAAAATTAAATTTTAGTGTTATTTGGCATCAATAATGCTAAATTTCCAACTTGAAAAACAGGTAAATTTTAAGATTTGGAATTTTTTAAAGTGTTAGTTGCCATTAATTGAAACCACAGGGAATAAAACCAGGAATTGCTGGTCAGTAATACATTGCTCAGTTATTCCCAAAGGAAAATAGGCACAGGCATAAATATTAGTTGGCCCAGATTGTGACTTTTGTATAGGTGGAGGCCTAACACAATTGGGATATCATTATACAAATGGTTGGTTTTCAAAATCAATTAAGTAAGCTGTAACCTGGTAGCTGAAATATTCTCTCCCTCTCAAGTGTACATTGTTATTAGTAGCCCTGCTCCCAGGGTTGATACTGTATTATCAGTTCAGCCAGCTACCTCTGGTTCGCCATTTTGGACAGATGATCTTTTTCTTCATGGTAATTTTCATAAAACTAATTATCTTTCATAATGTCCTACTTCAACATTTATTAGACTTGGGGTCAGAATGCTCTGCCTTATAGCCAATCAAATTTTGACTTTCTCTTGCCTAATTTTTGAAGGACAAATGATAATTAATTACCCAGTACTTCTCTGAAAAAATTCCTTCATGTTGTTAAAACTACTGAAAATTGAGTGCAACTACTATGGAAACAAAGATGAATTTGACTTTTTGTTTACCCTCCAGTATCTCTAGTTCTGTCCTTACATGTAGTAACCAGAATAGAACACAGAATTCTATAATTTAAGTAATGTATTCATTCATTCAATAAATTTTTGTAGTATATCTACTACATGCTAGACACTGTTCTAGACATTCAGCATTTCTAATAGAACATTCTGTGATGATGGAAATGTTCTATATCTGCTCTGTCCACCATAGTAGTTACTAGCACATGTGGCTATGGAGCCCTAGAAATGTGGCTAGTGGCTCTGAGGAACTGAATTTTACATTTTAATTAAATTTAAATAACATAGTCATTGTTATATAATGCTATGTATTAAATATATATGCATTAAAAAAAAACAGGCTCATAAATACAGAGGACAATTTGATGGTTGCCAGGGGTGGGAGAAATGGGTCAACAGTTTTTGGTTTTGTCTTTTTAGTTTAAATAATTTTTTATAATAGAGGGTATTAAAAATTCTGTCAACAAATTTAAAAATGGTAAGAGCCATCAACTATAGGAAGAGATAAACATGCACCATTCACTGTGGAGAGAAACAAATCTTCCTAAGGGTGCTTAATGATTTCTTTCTGCATTCTGGAAAATTTGTGTGGCTTCCAAGAATTCGTATCATCATCATCATCCGGGGCTGGCAGGAACTTAGCTTTCTCCAGGGCTTTGGAAGGTTATGAGTGCTGTCCACACCACATTTAGATCTCTCCCGTTGCATAAGCCTCATTTCTACATATGAGCATTCCATTTTAACAATGATATTAGCTAATTTCATTGAAGACCTAATATGAAACAACCACTGTTATAATCACTTTATGTGCCCTACCAGAGGGATGGTGTTATTATTCCCATTTTACAGATGAGAAAATGGAGATCCAGAGATATTAAAGAATTTGCCCAATGGTTACTAATATTTACAGAACTCTTTTTATGTATCAGATACTTTCTACCATGTTCTTCACATTATCTTTATTTAGTCTCACATGCTATAGGCTCTATTATTATTTACCTTTCTATTTATGAAGAAGCTCAGATGCAGATAGGTCAAGTTACTTTTTCAGTATCTCAGTTCTTATTCAGGTCCCAGTTCTCAACCATCATACTATCTTGCCTCTCAGGATATATTTTGCTAGAATAACTTGATTATTTGTGGGCTTAGATTTGTTGCTGAATTTGCCCCTTCAAAGCAAAGATGAATTACCAAAAATGAGTAGGGAGCTATGTTCATAATTTTTAAAATAAATAAATAGCTATATGTACATCTCCTGGTTTTACATACTAATGAGAAGAGACAAATACTAAAGAAATAATTTAAAAAATAAACAGGGTAATTTAAAATAGTGGTAAGTGCTATGAGGGAACTAAAACAGGAGGATGTAATCTCTATTACACCCTGGAGTTGGAGGTGGGAGGGTGGGAAGGAGTGGGGAGATACCCCTCTTCAGAATAAGGGTAGTCAAGGAAAGACCTTTCTGATGAAAGAACACTTGATTGAGACCAAATGATGAGAAGACAGCAACATAAGTAACTGGGAGAATAATATTCCCAGAAGGACCAGCAAATGCAAATGCCCAAAAGAGGGAACAAACTTAGTGTATTGAGGAAAAGAAAGAAGTCCAGTGTTCTGGACCAATCTGCAAGGGAGAATAAGACTGGAGAAGAAGTTAGGGGTCAGATCACAAAGGCCACCGCTGACCAGAGTTAAGGGAAGTAGGAAAGTAGTGCAATCATTTAAGCAAAAAGTGATATGATGTGATATGTTTTTTTAAAAGAGCTCTCTGAATGCTTACTAGAGAATGGACTGATTAAGGGTAGAAAAAAGTAGAGGCATAGAGACCAGGTAAGAAGCTATTCCATTTGCCTATTTTGTCCGATGTGGTAGCCATGAAAATGATGAAAAGTGAAAGAATTCCAGCTATGTGGAAGTAGTGTAATAGACTCATTACTTTCTAAGTATCATATATCAGAATACCTTTGCATTTTAATATAAAGTTGAATTTTTGTGTAACAATCTGATGTTGCTGCCAGTTATTCAACTCTAAGAATGTTTCTTATTGTTATTCATATAAACAAATGACTTTCACAGCATCAGTATGGTTTGTCAAAATTTGGTAATTCAGAAAAATGCACGGGTAAAAGCCTAGAAATCCTTGGTTTAAAAAAAAAAAAGGCTTTCATTTTTACCATATTCTGCAAATAAGATTTATCATGTTAGAGTTATGAGCTGATTATGTGATGTCTGTGTCTCGATAAATTATTCCTGGCTCTCTAGTTACACGCAGTATGTGTGGTTGGTTTACTGCAGAGTAAAGCTGAAAGAATTCCAGTACACATGTTCATGCAGGGACTATACACATGGCTAGTCAGTGTATGTAAGAGTTTTTTGTACCCTGTCCCTAGTATCTTGGCATTACTTTTATTATGTCTGCAGGACTCGTGTAGATGAAATGCCACAACACATTCTTTTACTATTGTAGCCTCAACCAGCTTTTTTTTTTTTTTAAGTAAAAGCAATTACCATCATAAAAATTCCTTACTGGGGAACTTTCCATATTGCGTTATCATTCCATGAGCCTAATAATAGTGGAATATAAAGAAAAAAAATTCTAATGCTAAAATATCTAAAAAAGACTTGAGTTCTCTTTAATGAGGAATACTAGGATTCTGGAGGAAGAGAAATAAGAAAAAAAGGAAGTAAAGTCAAGTTTTCTGGACTCGGTAAGGTTAGAGATTTATAAATCATTGCCTAGCCAAAGATAATTTGCAAATCACATGCACCTTTGCCATTGTCTAAACACAGTTAAAGAACTCTCAGTCTGTTATCTATTGGAGAATGCTAATGCCTATAATTGGTCATTGCTGGACCTTATGTATTTCTAACCTGATAGCTCTATCTGCCTAAAAGCTAATTCTGTGTTTTCTGTGAAATCTTGCAGTGGTGTTATCAGGGAGATTGTGTTCCTTTTGGCACTTGGCCCCAGAGCATAGATGGGGGCTGGGGTCCCTGGTCACTATGGGGAGAGTGCAGCAGGACCTGCGGGGGAGGCGTCTCCTCATCCCTAAGACACTGTGACAGTCCAGCGTAAGTAGCTAAAGTAAGCCGGAGCCAACAAAAAGACACAGTTGGAAATGATTCAAAGCTGTGGTTTCACATGTTATCTGTAAAAACGTTTCACTAGTGAGCCAAGTGTTTGTCTTCTGAACAAGCAATAGGCACAGGAGAGTGGAAGAGCCTTGTTAGACAGACTTTCTTTTTCTTCCTTCCCCCTTACTGTGCAACTAAAAATAAAAGAAAAAGAAAAAAGAATAGCATTGTTTATCTATCCCAGGTATAGCCAGACCTTTAATCTAGCAATAATCAGATAGATTTCCCCCTCCAAAAACTACTGAATTATGGATGAATCCAGGTCTGCTCTTAGCTACATTACCATTATTCCCAGGAAACGTAAATCTTTTCGCATGTCACATAAAATTATTACTGCTACATTAGTATTAAAAGGACCAATGAGAGCACTTCAAGGGTTGAAATGCCTTGATTCGCATCACAAATCACAATGAAAAGAATACTGCCCATGTGTTAAAATAGTTTCCATTCACATGCCCCTATTAATCATCTTCCGGAGCTGCCACCACTTTTCTCCCCGTGACTATTTTATGCAGGTCAGACTGTTCCTCTCCCACCACTCTTTTTCTCCGGTCAGAGTCCCCCTGGTGAAAGGCCAGCCCCATCAGTATTCTTTGGTAGCTGTATTGCTTCTCCCTCCCACCAGTGCCCATTACAGGTGGACCAGTCCCCCAGTTAGACTTTTCTGTCCGCCCAGAGACTAAACTGCTCCTTAGCTGCTGCATATCAAGTGCTCCCCTTTTTGTCTCTAGCTCAGGTTGCAGGCCTCCTTTCCCAACTAGTGTTTGGTGCAGCATTGCGTTGTAATATCACTTCTGCTTTTTTCCCTTCCTGGGGAAAAGATAGTCAGCTTTCATTTTTTAGTTTTCTCTTTTTAACTCAGGATCCCTCTCTTTAGTTCCCCCTCTAAACATCTCTTTTCTTCTCTTTTACTCTTTTTAGTTTGAAATTATTTCCCTTTACACTCGTTCTGTGTTTCCATTCTCCAGCTTTCTTTCCATTATTATCTTTCTGCTAAACAGAGCTAGCTAACTGTCACCCACTCATCAACTAGTCATGCTACCATCATCCCCATGCCCTCGTTTCTGTCTGACCAAACCATGTCTCCCAAGCTGATTTAAACTGGGCCATCCTTTTCCTTTTTAGAATCAGTATCCACTGGCATTCAAAATATATTCAAAATGTAACTTTAATTATTCCATTGACTACCAGTGAGCCAAAATTATAATTATACTTGATCTTTTTCAAACAAGTCCAGAATAATTACCTAAGCTCAACTGCAGGCTACTATAAATTAGTAACCAAAAATATAAACATCTATGATAATAAGTAATATACCCAGATCCTTAAGAGAATGACTTGGACTTCTTTTAAAAGAAGAAGTTAGTTTTTTCTATTCGAAATAGCATGCGCAAATAATAGCATATGGCTTTCCTAATGATAAATATTTAAAAAATTAATTTATGTAAGTCAAATATTGGACATCTTACTTTTTCATTAATTGGGGTGTAATATACAGTATATAATGCAAAGCCATCTGGTTTTTAAATGTAATTTTTCAGATTTCATGTAATGAGATAGAAATTCATTTCTGCATTATTTACTTTGAACTGAAGCTATTTCCAGAGACTTACTTAGTATTCTGTCATTTCCAGTCTGGAAAAAATAGTAAACTTAACATTTCCTACTTGGTGAACAGTTAGTATCAGATTATGTGTTTTGTTGAATACGATTCAAGTGGTTTTTCATTATAAGTAAGTGATTTTTAAACTCATTGTGTTGAACTGAGTACCTGCTTACTATGATAATTAGAAAATAAATTTATTTAATTGCATTTTCTTAAGAATGTAAATCATGACAGCTTAGAGTCTTGTAAAGTTATTCGTAGGAAACTGCCTTAGTTTTTATGTTTAACAACCGTAATCATTATTGCTAACAATCACCAGCATGATTGTTATTTTAATAACTAGTAAAATGTCAAATTTTGTATTTTCTTAAAATAAATGCTAATATGTTTTCATCAAGCAATATATATACTCTTTATGTAGACAGATATATTCACATGTTAAACAAAATATGTTTTCAGACCTTCAGGAGGTGGAAAATATTGCCTTGGGGAAAGGAAACGATATCGCTCCTGTAACACAGATGTAAGTAAAACCAAACTTTGCTATGAAAAATTAGCTTACGTTTCCCCTAGAGCAGGGAAATTCTTAAAACTGTAAGCTATTTGGTCATAAATCCATGTGTACGAAGGTCACATGAATTTTTTAAATTGTTAATAGTGAATGGAACAGGCCTCACATCCAGAAATTCCATCAACAGGGGACAAGGGGAAGCTCCAGCACTAGGAGCAAATACAATCTCCCCCAATAGGTACCAAGAGAGAGTCGTAGGTCCCCCAAAATGCCATGGTCCCCCAACACTCACACCTTTGCCACCACTATCTTTCCACCAGGATTAATCTTACTATGCCCATAAAATAAGATTATTTTATGTTTGCCACTCTAAGAAGCCCCAGATTCTCAGGTCATTCCTCATCTCTTGCCATCCAATCCCATAAAGTTCTGCATATCACATCTTCTGTTTTGTATCTCTGCCCAGCTACTGAAACTTTTCTTCTGGGCCCTTAGGGATTCATGATCCATTGGCAGCAAAAGCCCTTATATCTTGATGTCTCTGAATTTTCCTTCTCTTCACTTTGTTGTTCTAATGGAAACTGGCTGTCCTCTAATGATACTTAAAATAAACTTTAGGCTTCTAAAGGTGTTTTCTCACTTAGCTCTTGAATGAGTGGAAGTGAATTGACTTTTTTTTTCAATATCTCATTACCTCTTTCAGATCGTTCTTCCTCCCTCCTACTTAAAAACCACACCTTTTAATTTCATGTCATCAGACTGTTACACAGTATTCCTCACCGTCATGCTCTCCAACTCTATTCTTACCTTAATTCTTGGTTATTTCATAAATATATAGATATTTTCCTAATATCTTCTCTTCTGGATTTTTCCATAAACATACAAACATATTGTTATTTCTCCTATCTTAAAAAAACAAAAACAAAACACCTGCCAGTTCTTTTCACATTTTTTTCTTCCCTTTGAAATGAAATTCCTCGAAAGAGTTATATACTTCCATATCCAGTTCCCTTGATTTTTCCCCAAAACTGTTCCCTGTCAGATTTTTGCTGCCATCATTCTACTAAAAATGCTCTTGTCAAGTCAAAGGCTAGATGACTTCCATGTTGCTAAATCCAATAGTCAATTCTGAGTATGTTCATCTTACTTGATAGTCAGTAGGCTTCCATAACATACAACTTTTTGGTTGTCCTTTTTTACTGCTGCTTGTTTTTTCTCATTCTCCTTTGCTGGTTCCTACTCTTTTTCTCTTACTTCTTAGAGTGTCCAGGACCTAGTCCTTGCCCTTCTTTTGTGCACTACCAGTATTCATTTCCTTGGGGATCTCATCCAGTTTCATTGCTTTTGATAGCATTCATATGTCCTTTGATGCCCAAATTTATATTTTTAGCCCAGATTTCTTTCATGGATTCCAGACTCGTATCTTACCATTGATTAGACTTTTAATAGACATCGGATATTTAACACGTCCAAATGTTATCTCTAAAACATTCCCATTTACCTGTACCTCCCAGTTTGAGTCATTCTAGATTCCATTCTCTCACAGCTCATATCTAATCCCTCAGGAAATCCCATTGGCTTTCCCTTCAAGATATATCCTAGATCTGACTACTTCTCACTGCCTCCACTGCTACTACTCTGTTCTTCACTGACTTAGTCTGAAGAGCTTTTTCAGTGGATTTCCCATTACTACTCTTGCTCCCTACAGTTCTCAATACAGGAGGCAGAGTGAGTCAGATTATATCCTTTACTCAAAACCCTTCAGTGACTCCATTTTACTTTAATCCAGGGCCCTTAGAAAGGCCTGCAAGGAGTATACAATCTAGCCCTCTATTACTTTTCTGAACTAATCTCCTACTATTTCCTCCTCAGTAACCCTGCCCCAGCCACATGGGCCTCCTTCCTTGTACATACCAGGCACGCTCCCACCTCAGGGCTTTTGCATTGCCCATTTCCTTTACCTTATATACTCTTCTCCCAAAATGGCTTCCTCTTTTACCTCACCTTTATTCAACTGTCACCTTCTGAGTGAGCCCTAGCCTGAATATCGTATTTAAAATTGCAATATTCCCTACTTCCTACAACCCTGAGACTCCTAATCTTCCTTTCCCTTCTCTATTTCCCCCCATACATACTTATAATATACTCTCTAGCTTATTGATCATATTACTTCTATGTTACATTTGCATCCTAAAGTAATAACATGTAGCTTCAATTACAATGATCGTTTCAACCTACCAGCATTATTTATTCATTCACTCAACAAACCATTGAGTGCCTATTGTATATCAGACTGTTCTAGAGTGAGAAGGACAATCTCTGCTCTCAAGGATCTTATAATTTCCTGGAAAATCAGTTAAGTGCAGAAAGTCACCATTCAGCATGATAAATATATGATATCTTAGAATAAGTATGGGATACTATAAAAGCACATAGAATGGGCACATAGCCTAATTAAGGATTTAGAGATTTCTTCCCATAGGAAGGTAAAGATATGAGGGGCAAATAGGAGCTGACCAGAAAAGAAGAACGTGACAATGAGAGCATTCTAGGTAGAAGGAAAATTAAGTGCAAGACTTGTAGGTTAAACAGCATGATACTTACTTGGAGGTAGTAAGACGCCATTCAAAAACTTAACCTCAGATTTATACTTTATGTGAGAATGGATCGGAGAAGGTGAGACTACAACAGAACAATAAACAGATCAGAAAGAATTTAAGGGTACTAGTAGGAATGACTGAAGTGCTGAGTCATGCATTCTGCACTGAGAATGACAGTCTAAAGAGGGCTAAGAGGAGAAAATTAAGGACCTAACTTCAAAAATCCATAAAAATTGAAGAACCAATGTAGTAGTAGGAAAAACAGGGTGAGGGAGATAGAAGGTATGGGGATCAGAGAATGCAATGTACTTGAATTTCATATATGACAAGTGAGACTATTCTCAATGATGACAAATCTGCAGTGTGGCCAAGGGAATACATGCCTAGCCTTGGGCAGAGATGAAGGAGTTCAGGGGTCTTCAAGGCAAGGGAATTTGGGGAGTCTTCTATGCAGATGTTGAGGTCACTCAGGATGATGTTAAAACCTGGAGTATAGAGTGAGACTGTGAACCAGGTACCAGACCCTTTAATAAATAGAGAAAATGACCATGATGAGGTCAGTAGGAATGATGAAGCCAGATAGTGATTTGGATGAATAGCACGAATTTCAGAATAGAGGTTTTACCTAAGGGTAGAATACATTAATATCTACTGTACATCAGACTATGTTAGGTAGGTGTGAGAAAGTCAAACCCATGTCTCAATTCACATTTGTTTCTATTATACAATTGTAGGGGCAGGCACATTCTTTGACCTTAATAAGATAGGTACTATAATACGAATAATGTATGATAAGGAAAAGAAAAAGAAACAAAAAGTACTATAGACATATCAGCCTTGTTGCTTTTTACCCATGAACTTTGTTTTAGATGCTCAAACTGTAGAACTTGCTATTGGTGGATTGACATTTCTACTATCAGCTTTGGCTTCTGTTTTAGCTTTCAGCAAATGATACAATTAACATAACTATATCATGGAAATACAGATTTTTTTCACAAATCTAGACTTTACTAGTTCAGAACATGAGACAGTTCAGTTACCACACTGAAATTTATTTTCAGGATAAGTTCATAAAACTGAGCATAAGTTTATAAGGTGGAGACTTTTAAAGTATAATCTAATATATGAAAATTTAAACTTTCAGAACACATAACCTACTTGCACTGTCCCAGAGAACTTTCTTCATTGATAGAAATGTTCTACATGTGCATTGTCCAGTCTGGTAGCCACTAGCCAAATTAGCTCTGAGCACTTGAAATGTGGCTAGTGTTGGGGCACCTGGGTGGCTCCGACAGTTAAGTGTTTGACTCTTGATCTCACCTCAGGTTTCGATCTCAGGGTCCTGAGTTCAAACTCTGTGTTGCGCTCCATGCTGAGCATGGGGCCTATTTAAAAAAAAAAAAAAAGTGTAAACGAAAAGCAGAACTTTTAAGTTTAATTAATTTAAATTCGAATAGCTACATGTTGCTCATGGCAACCATGTCGGACAGCACCGAGCTACATAGTCTAGCTATGCAGTAGAAAAATAATTGTTATAAAGAAGACTTTAAATATTATATATAAAATTCTCAAAACAAATCAATCTTAGATCATTTTGGAAACAAATGTAGAATATTTCCATTTTTGGTAATGATAGAGTAAGTTACTCTGACAGAACTCTTTTCAAGAATTATTGAATAAGAATGTTTTAAAACATCACTTTTAAAATCTGCAACTCACTGATAAGATAGTGAGGGAAATTCCGGAAGGTCAAATTCTTTGAGGAAGGGGAACTCAAAAATGTAAGTGGAGCACCTAAAGTACTTTTGCCCTGACAGTATTCAGTGGAAGAGACCAGATAAACTGCTACTGTGTCTCTTTCCTTCCTCTAAGGAAAGCTTTTCCCAAAGCTCCTTCCTTGTTCCTTGACAGACTTCATTCATGTTTTATTGGCCTGGAGGCTACATATCCATTTTAAACCAGTCATGGGCTAAAAAGAATGGGATTACCATAATTGGTTTAGACTAATCCAGATTTGCCCCTAGAATGAAGTTAAGGTCACCTTTCCTGAGAGGTAGATTCCTGGGCAAAAATCAGAATTCTGTTAGCAATAAAGTGGAGAGTTCGCCACACATGTTTGCTCAGAGCTCATTTAGTTTCCAACTTTACTAGTAAAAGTAGCAGCAACAGAAGTAGTAGTGGTAGTAGTTGCTGCTAACATTTACTGAGCATTCACTATGTGCTGGACCCATTAATTTAACCATATTTTCTTCCCAATCTGAGAGTTCTTCTCCTTCTCCTGGGCAGTGAGTTGGCTTGCTGAGATATTTTAAATTTTTATTCTTTCAATAAAAATCTAGAAAAAATATGCTAATTTAAAATTTTGGTATAATCTGTTCTATTACAACTTTGCCTCTGCAACACAAATTAGCT